TTAATATATTTGATTATTTAATCAAACATTATCTTTTAAAACCATGAAATCTTAAAATTAATTTTCATTTTTGATTTAAAAAAATGAAATTATAATATTTGTCTAATTTAGAATTTTTTTTTACAAACAACTTGTACTATTGAATTTCAATATTTATAGTTTCAAGTATACTTTAATTTTTAATTAAAAAAAAAAGCCTAACAAAAAAATTCCTCAAGAATTCCACCAATTCCTCAAATCTTCAAATGATGTAACATTTTTTTTTTCACCAAAATTCCTCAACAATTCCTCAAAACTAATGTTACCATTTAGACTCTGAGGGTCTAAATGGTAACCGAGGAATCCAGCTGAATCTGGCTGATTCACAGTCTATTTTATAGGCAAACATTCATATTTTAAAATAAATATAATATTGATCTTGAATAGTGTGTTATCTGTTACGGATGGATGATTCACCTCTTTTTTCTAGTTTTTGTGGTTCATCCACTTATTAAACTAAAAGACAAAAAAAAGCATGTCATTTACGTTTCGCCCATTTTGATCTGAATCCTAATAATGGTTGTGAATGGAAGAGTGGGAAAAGAGCGTATCAAAAAGCAGAGCGGATGACACGTTTTCATCTTTCCATTCAACAATTTTAATTACCATCATACGGTTCATTATTTAATATTGGCTCCGAATAGAGAAAGCGTATCGGGTGGAGCGGATCAAGCGGTTCAAGCGTATCAAGCAGATCAAAAGCGGATCAAGCAGATATAGCATTACAAGTGCGGATCAAGCGGTTCGAACGCTTCAAAATATGTGTTGAATGGTGAAAGCGGATCAGAAAGTGCGGATGAAATATTTATATTATGAAAACATCAATTTTAAATAAAATATTTTACATAAACTATACATATTCAAAATTATATTAAAATAAATTATCAATAATGGTTTACATATTCTTAAACTTGTATTTAAACAAAATGTACTAAAAATATCTTTAAATTAATTCAAGTATCATAATAAAAAGGGATGAGATCTTAAATAATACAAGTAAAAATATATAATATACGTAATTCAAGTAATTTAAATTATTACTCCAATTTTTTGTTAGAATAACTTAAGATTTGGTTAATCTGTAATTTCAAAATTAAATATTGCAATGTTCTATTCTCTTTTCTTTGTTTAGTTTGGTTTAGTTCATCGGTTATGGTTATTCTAAAAATGTAGTTTGTTCAGTTAAGTGTGAAAATATTTATATGGGTTACCAAAATTAACATTTGTGATTTTGTTATAATTTTTCAATATTAAAATATCAATAATAAAAGAACCACATCTGTGGCACACAAAACACATCAAATTGGAAGCGTTCCTGCTGTACCATACGGATTTTCTGTTTTACTCATAGTTTTGAGCCGCAACAGTAAAATCTATTTTTTTAAAAAAATTTAATGTTGAACCGCATGTAATATATTTTATTTGTTGGATGGCTGAATAATTACGTTTCTTCTCCGCCCACGTAGCAACCACCTTTTATCTGCTCACCACTCACAGCTAATGGAACAATAAAAACAGATCATGTAGAGAAGCGTGCCACCCACTTTATATCCGTTTATTATCCATCCCCCATTCAAACCCTTTGTGTTATCGACGACCAACCTTTTTACACTTCACTGGTTGCCGATCTCTTGTTTTGTACCACATTTTTCTCTCTACTTTGATATTTATGGTTTTTTTTTCCTTATATATTTTTTTTATAAACCCTATCGGCTATCCGGTCGGCTCCGGTAGGAACGCACCGAGGTGCTACATAGTGGACTGGTCCATCGTGTTAACGGTTAGGCTCTTACGGGCTACCACTCTGTCTATCCCGAGTTTGTAATGCCTTCCGACTAAGTGTCAGGGGTAGTCAGGCCGCTTGCATTTCTGACTACCAGGTAAACCAATTGGACAAAAACCCAACTGACAGACTTCCCACAATAATGCTGATAACAGCAGGAGGAGTCGAACCATGGAGAGGAGGGAATTGCACCCAACCATCCTGGGCCCGCCAAGCCACCTGCCTACCATCATGTGGGCCTTTTTTTCCTTCTAATTTGAGAATATCTTTATTCAATTTGTTGAATCTTCCGACATTGACATCTGTAAATAAACTGGAATAATATGAGAATTAGTGACACAAAAATATATTATGATTTTGATGTTGGAGAATCCATTAAAACTAGTGATATATATGTCATAAAAGAGGAGTGAAGAATATAATTTTTCTTCCTTTAAAAATCTGGTAATCACTATGTGTTGGGCTTCTTGTTCTGTTAGGTCTTCTTGATTATATCTCCAAATGATTAAACAAATTTAAAAACTATAAAGGGAGCAAACAAAAGTTACAAATGAAAGAAGATTACAAGTGAGATACAACAAACAAAAATAGAGGAAACAAGTAATGAAAAAGCAGGAAGTAGGAAAAGGAAATCAAGTAGAAAATTTTAAACGACAAGAAAAAAATTCAACAAACATCACATATTTTCTTTTCAGAGTGTAAGATGAACGCACAAAGAACAAAACTTTAGACAACTAATTTCACTAAAGCAGTGATGTGTCACGAAACACATGTATCTCATGGTATATATATATGATATGCGGTGATTATAATAAAAAGGCACAATCGCAAAAGCGAAAAGATTTTTGGGAAAGGTTGACATGAGTGGTATATATATATATATATATATATATACTTTTTTATATATAAAAACAGGGATGATTCGAATTTTTACCATCCGACTAATGTCTCCAACATGTGTGTAGCCGTCGAGTATATTGTATTTGGTAATATTGATTAGTGGGAGATCAATATTTCTATATGATAAGTGCTGCATATTTAAATATATAGGTTTCAAGCCCATGCATAGCATTGGATGTTTCCTAGTAACTAATACGACTAAGAAAGCAAAAAAAAAAAAAAAAAAAAATTGGTGAGACCCGTCGCCTTGTTCTCCTTTCAATTTTTTCTTTAACAATAAACATGTATACTTCAGTACGGTTCTGATTCTTGTTTCTCATTTTTTTTTTTTTTTAGAACTGTCGGGAAATTATAAAATAATCGTTAGTGTTGCTAATATATATAGTTCGACATGACATATAAAGGTTACTTAGTAGATGTGTATGTAGGTTTAAAACTTGGTATACAACATCAACTACGAACAAAGAAAAGCAATAAAACGCCAAGAAACATGCATCAACCCCAAAATATCAACTAAAACATCAAAACACATAAATATTAACTCAGAAACGTCAAACCCAAGACATATATTAGTAACTCTAATCAATACAATAAAAACACTAAGAGTCTCTCCAGACCTGACACCTCAGTTTTTTAAGCTATTCTCAGGTTGACACCTCATTAAAATCATCGTCCAATGAAAACATTTCAATTAATACAACTCAACATTTATCTGCCAGTAAAATTTCTTCTCCGTTCCACATCACTTTTTTTTTAAAAAAATTGTTGCAAAAATATAAATGGCCGAAGCCTAATTAAATAGTTTGACAGCCCATATTGGTTAGCTGTTTACATAGAAAATTAGAAATCTTATTGAACCCATAATTAAAAGTCCATTTAGGTAAGTATCTCAAATCGTAGAAAATAAATCGGTGAAAAAATTACTGTCGTTCATTGAAGAGAAAACCAAAGCTGCATAATCTTACTCACCAAACCCGAATTGGATCGAGAAACCGATATCCTGTTTTGATTGTTGATCTCATGATTCTGGAGATCGAATTCGTAAAACTGTGAGAACTCCGATGAAGTCTATTTTTCATTTCCCTCTACTTCACTTTCTTCCTCTTCTCTCCTCAGAATTTTCGCTCTCCTTTGTTTATTGTATACAGATGTTAAAACTGTAGGAAACAAAATCTCTGAGGAAGATGAAGAAGAGAATTTCGATCAAAGGAAGCTCCAAACAGATCCAACGATGTTTGATCCAACATAGCACTGTAGTCCACCAACGGAGCGTGATGGTGGAATCGTGGCTAGATCAGTTTAAGGACAAAGTGGTGGTGGTGTGTGTGAGTAAGCTAAAGTGAAGAAGATTGTGTTTGAGATAAAATTGGAGTTTTTTTATGCTTCTGTTGAGATTAAGATTATGAAGGAGTTGAAGAGTTTTACTGATTTGGGTTTGAAAGAAGCTAAAGCATTGGTGGAGAAGACTCCTCCGATTTTGAAAGCTTGATTGTCTAAAGAAGAAGGTGAGAAGATCGTTGAGAAGTTGAAAGCATTTGGTGCTAAAGTTGTTTTTGGAGTAGAATCATCAATTTGTTTTAACGTTTGTGTTACTTTAAAGCTTCCAATTTTTTTCTTTTGTTCCATCTATGAGGAGTTTCTTAAAGTCATAGATTACACTTCCTCTAAATTTGGTTTGAGAGATGAAAAAAGGATATGATGAATTTATTCAATAGAAATCATTTTTTTCCTCACCATGGCTTTTGATTTTCTTTGAGCTTTCCACAAAACATTGTGTTGTAAAATTCTCTCCTATTTGCCAAATCACCCATCATCAATTCCACAAAACTCTTTTAAAATACCTCTGCAATTAAGCTTTAAGTTATTTTTAAATGGACTTCGATGGTCTTGTGGTACTTGGTGGAGATGACTCCAATACTACTGCTTGTCTCTTTGCCGAACACTTGGTATTTTTTTTAAGTTGGTTAAAATGAATGAGATTCACTTCTCTCTGTTTTGTGTTTTGGTGATTGGTTTCCCATTTGGTTTTCAAAGCTAACAACATGAAAACTCGGGTTAGTGAATGTCCCAAGACAATCGATGACGTTTACTGTGATTTGATATTATAAAACTGGACTTGAGATTAGTTCTTGAACCAAGATCCACCAATTACTTATATAAATGCAACTAAAGAAATTATATTCAAAGATATAAAAACTCAACTTTCGTTTAAATCATTATTGATGAGAATTAATCTTATACAATGGTTTTATGAATAAAAGTTATAAAAATCATATTGATATGCAAATTCAATTAATATTTGATGCTTAAGGTAGATATCAATTAACAAACTTACATTCAAAACAATACCCGTAGCGAAGCGCGGGTTTCGTCCTAGTTATAGTAACATTCGTAGAGTTTAATATCCAGTTTGACACGAAAATACTTACTGCCGTCAAAGTGATCGGTCGTTAACGTAGCGTAACCACGAGTCATGAGGAAGTCACCATACCACCAACAATCGGTAGGTCTCTAGTCGGCTCCATAAACGGATTTTCACTCATTATGGTAAATGAACCTTTGTGTTGTGTTGAATTGAATACCACTGTCCAAGCATTCCAAGCGTCGTATTTTGCCTTACCATGGTAAAGAAGAAGCCTTGAACACGAGCCACCAGTTTCGAAAGATAGTTCTGGTCCATTGTCACAGGGTCGTCCATAATCACAAACTTTCCAAAACTGAATTCTCCTAGTCCTAAAGGGTTCACAATTGCTGCCGACGTGGCATTAGCCGCGTTATCACCATCGTAGGCAATGTCATGGAGGTGGAGGATGAAACGCTTGCATGGTTTTGCTAGGTTGAGTGATTTTCGGAAAGATGAGACCGTATTTGATTGGCTAAGTAAAATAGACAAGAAGAAGATCAAGGAGAATACTTGTTTGTAGATTTAATTTACCATAGTTAGCGATTTAGTGTTAAGTAGAAATGAGTAAGTAGTAATGATTTTGAGAGTGAATATAAATATGGCTTTAAAAACTTAGCAAAAATGCCACAAAACATAAATCTTTCCAAATATGTCATAATAGTGGACAACATTTCTTGTCTACCCAAATTTTTGTATGTCGTTTCGAATTCTTGTCCACCAAAAGCCTGTTGTTTCAAAGGTGGACAAGAATTTTTGTCCACCAAATATCTTCTCAATCTGTTGTTTCAAAGGTGGACAACATTTCTTATCTACCAAAAATTTTCAGTTCAAAGTATTGTTCATCATTATGGCACATTTGGAAAGACAAATGTTTTGTGGCAATTTCTGTAAATTTTACTACCGTATATGACACATTAAACTAAAATCTTTTGTTGATAATCTACGTCTTTTTCCCTGCCATATTGCCAAAATTAGTGGGTTATAATAGAATATAAAGATTTTAAGATCATGTGGAGGATTCAATTATTAATAATGGCTCAACAACTAAATGTTTTATTATTATTAAAATTAGATATTTGATATGAGTCATGTTGTTTTTTTTTGGTGCAGGTACTTTTAAAAAATGAATAGTACTTCTAAAAAGTTTTGAGATGGTACTGGAGAGTGGGTTTGATTTTCGATTATTTTTTTTTTCGTTTTTGACAGTCAATAAATCAAACTTTGCAGAGAGTCAGAGATTACTGGAATGGATTGAGTTGGGGTTCCATATCATTCCACGTGTAATGGTTGGGGTATAAAGAATCCCTTTAGTGGCTCATGCCATAAAACAATTGATATAACTAGGAGAACATTATCTATCATACTTTAAGGCTGTGACTGGTATGGTACATAGAAGAAAAATATATCACGTGGTCCTACTATATTAGAAGAAAAGTTTTTTTGTTATCAAATGAATTTTTATTTTATGAGTAGAAACTTTTCTTCTACGTATTAGTAGAAAGAAGAATTCCTCTAATTTCTTTTTCTTTTCTCTCTCACCAGTCAGACCCTAAATATAACTAGGAGAATAATATAAATGATACAAAAATATATCAAGTTTTTGCTCTCACTATATGAATTAGGGTATCTATCCTATGTTAATTATCGTATGTTAAATTGTATATACTCATCATATCATTGATCTAATATTTAAATTCAATACTATCGCTTTTATTTGTATTGTTATTTTGTAGGAGCTATAGTATCATCATATTGTGATATAATCCTATTACAAATGATAATTAATTTAATATATACATGCGATTTTTTTTTTTCGTCAAAACAAATATATTGATATTAAATAGTGTTTACAAAATACAGAAAACATTCCAAACAACCGTTGAACGCAAATACAGGAAATTGATACAATTTCGATGAAGGAGTGAAAATAACCTTGCTATCTTTTGATAGTCTTATAGGCAACATATATAATCTGTTAAGTCCCTCCTCCACACACTTTTTATTGGCTATTAGCTTGCTGCTGAAACTCCAAAATACCATTAGCATTACTTTTATTAGAAGAATGAAATAAAATGTTGTTGTAAATGATTCTGAAACTTGTCTTCTCAGTGAAATCAACGCACTTGATGGTTCCCACAAAGACTCTCTATATTCATCGTGATATATCTGTTGTTTGCTCCCCCAAAGTTGTTGCCAAAGTGATTGATTCGGTTGCAACCCATAATTGCTTGAAGGTAAATTCAAGAGGGAACACATGCCCGTCCCATCTTCAATATCAATGAATAGGTTCAACAGTATCTCTTCTTCTTGTATCTTCTTCTTTTTAAAACCAGCGGCTTCTCCATTTGCAACAAAAACAACTACAAAGTTTGAATCTATGAACTGACCTTTTGCAAATGTTGCCTTTTTGTAACGGACCTTCATGGCAACATGATCATGATGCGCAGAAACGGTTTGGTTAGATTCCGAGACAATAATATGGCGTGTGAGATATTCGGCATAAATTCTACATTCTTGAATCCAGAATAGAATTGATTTCAATACGTCATCTTGAGTATTGTGTGGCCATCGATGAATTATGATCATCCACCGTACCCAATATAAAACCATAGTCCTTTCTGAATCATCAAATTCATATTTCCATCTGAAGATTGGGGAAATCCGACGTCGGTTCATTATCAAGTCTGAAACTGATATTTCTAGTTTTGAAATCCGACAACGCCTCCCTAAAATCACAAGAAACAAACAGCGAAGGGGAGAAGAAAACATCATCACTGCAGAAATTTGTTGACATCTTCGATCGAGGGAGAACAAAAAAAAAAACGACTTCCGTAGATATGACCACACCAAAATCGTATTCCATCGTTTTCAAATCTGTACTTACAACCTCCTGGATCCCAGATCTGGGTTTGGTAACCCTTTCGCGATTTGCAGAACTTAAAGTCATGGTCTTGGTCTCGATGGTGTTGGAGACTAACAAATTCAGAATTGAACCACAAGAAGTCGCTTGGACAAAACCCTAGCGGAAAGACGCCGTCATTGTTCCGACACCATTGCCGGATTTTGATCGGAAACAAACTCTCCCAAAGAGAGAAATAAACGATGAAACATTGGGAATCTATCATCAAACATTTTGATTTGGGAATCATCTGCCCAATTTTTATTGAAAAAGTAAGGAAAAGAAAGGAAGAGAATGAAGCCGACCGACGCCAGAGAAGCCGGCGCCGGCCGGAAAACGTGATAACGACTAGGTTGTTTTCTTTGTAGAGAGTCGCCTGTTTCAGAGAGAGAGAACAGAGCGGACTTATATATATATATATATATATATATATATACATGCGATTATGAACGACTCGACGAACAATTCTACTAACGTGCATCTCTTTTCGCAACACTCCGATCTTCTACTGTCGATTCTTACATATGCATCATACCAACGACGCGTACGGATATTCTTACCCCTATAATATCAAGACTATAACGTATGGCTTTGCCTGGCGCATTCTGAAACTTGTGATTACCTTTACATCGTTAATCTATAAGAATATTTGTATTCTTTAGAAAATCGAACTCCATATTTGGTTTAAATCTCTGACCACTAGACTAGAATTTTCACAAATAAATAGCTTTTTTAGGGTTTATATGACTTCTACCTCACTTTCTCTTCTATCTCACAAGTTTTCTATTTCACAAACAGTAAAAACTGACTATCTTACTAAATATAAATAGTAACTGTACTACTTTTATAATTATGTTTCAAAAACGTACTAGTATCCAAACAAACCCTTATATGAACTAGATGAAAATCCTATTATATTATATTCTTTTTTGAAAAACCTTTTTTATATAATATATTATTTTCGATTTTATATTTTTAAGTGCAAGACATAAATTTAATAGAATTTAATCTTCTAAAAATCAAATGTATGTAAGTTTCTCCAAGTAGCTAGTTCATTATTAGATTTTATTCAAAAAATCAAGCTGGTTCATCAAGTTGCTGGAATTTTCTGCCAAATTTGTTTCATCGTATTTATTTTTTTTCTCCAGCTATTTTGCTGCGTATGTGTATCATCTTCTATATATTTTAGTATGTAATATTAAATAAGTATGCCATCACTTACATACTACAAAATCAGTCTGCCATACTGTACACAGGGATCGGACCCGTGTAAAGAAGTCTATCATTAAGATTGAAGACAATATGTGCTAAACATTCCACAAATAAAATTTACACTACAAGAAATATGTTCATCGTTAGCGCGAAAAATATTTTTTTTTTTTGCTAAGTGTTAAGCGGTTTTTGTGAAATATTTGCAAAGTTTTGGCGGTCATAAGTGATTCTACGTCTTTCCTTTGCTATTATAGGGCTTAGCATTTTTCAAATGCTACGATATAGTTACGAATTCCTCGATATCATCTTTAATAGCATTTACAAAATCCGTGCTATCCTAATATGCTATCAATGTACACTTTTTTTGTAGTGTTATACATAGCTGAATCAGTGAATCCTAATGTACAAAACATATTGAAAACTGATATATATTTTGTTTATTTTATAAACCAAAAAATCCTAATGCAAATATTTGGATGGAAAATTGGATCGAACAATCATACACATGAGAGATCTATAGTGGAATTATCAGATTTCTTACTTGGCTCTTAAGATTGCTTACAGCCTTTAGCCTGTTGCACTTCTTTTTAAGTATGCAGCACTTTTCATTTCCTTTTAGATATATTCAAGTAACAATGAGTAATCTTTTTCTTTTTAAAGCCTGCAAAGGTGAAAAGTTTCATTATTGTAGGTTTACACGCAATGTATACTTAAAACGTGATCTCCGATCCATAAAGTGATGATCTCTATTGCCATGGTTAGAGAGTTCAGTAGAAATGAGTAGTGTTGATTTTGTTGATATGAAGAGGGCTTTCGAAACCTTTATTTATAGATATACATAATACATATATAATTGATCTTTCTTTAATTTTAGTATAAAAATGAGTTTGAGTTGAGGGACAACATTTAATTGTTGACATATTGCCAAAATCAATCAATTTAAGATTTTAGGACTCATGATTACTGATGGTTGTTCAACTACCATTCGTCTTATTTTTATTTACTCGAAGCCATTTAATTTACATTGGAAAGACGGAAAGGGACTTGAGTAGTATATAAAGGACATGAGGCACTCCACTTATTGCCAGTTAGTTTTGAATGGAAAGCCCTTAAAACTTCACAGTTATGATTTTGATTTCTCATTTTTTTATTTTGATAGTTGAATTGTCGGAAACTTATAAATCGTTAGGGCATCTCCAGCTCAAATTTATTATAGAGTAACATTCTCTCAAACCTCCGCTCTATATGACTATATCTATTCTTAGTACCCTAAAATAGAGTAAATGATACGATTGCTCTATACTTAAGTAATTCTAATTTATACTAACTCTATCTTAGACAAAGAAATAGAGTGATGCATTAGAAATAAACTTTATTCTATTTTAGGAAAAGTACATTGGAGATGTTCTTAGTAGATATACAT